CTTGGTTCCGGCTCTGTTTCGTGGCGGGCTACTCGCTCGTCTTCTGTTCTTGGCTCGAGTTGTGAGGCTGAGATCTACGCCGGGGCCATGGCTGCACAGGAGCTTCGCTGGCTCACCTACCTGTTGACCGACCTTGGAGAGCCGCCTCGTTCTCCTCCAGTCCTGTACGTAGACAACAAGGCCATGCTGGCCTTGTGTCGAGAGCAGCGACTGGAGCACAGAACAAAGCACATTGCTCTCCGCTACTTCCTTGCTCGTGAGCTACAGCAACGTGGTCAGTTGCGGCTTGCGTACGTGGCCTCTGAGGCCAACACTGCTGATGTCTTCACCAAGGCACTTCCGCCTTGTGATCATCAGCGCTTCTGCACTCAGCTGGGTCTTGTGCCCGTCTTGCCTCACTTGCTCTCCTCTTGACCTTGCCTGTACTCTCACATATATATATACCTGCTCTTGCTTGTCTAGCTTTGTATATATGTGTGTACTCTTGCATGTGAACTGGCCGTGTGGCCTTGACCCTGTGCTCGGACTGTGTGGTGACTTTGTGATCCACCCTGAGCTTGCTTTGCTTTACTTTGCTTGACTGGTCTTGTGACCCCTTGTTCTCCCCCACTTTGCCTATGGGGGTGTGTCAGAACATTATAGCTTATGCTGTTGTGTAGGCTATAGTGGGGTATCCCATAGGGGGTACAACCAATTAGGGTTTCATATTTGTACTCACTTCATTTCATAGTTCATCCATTCTTGTTCAAATCTTCTCAGAGAGTGCGCGTGATGGAGTGCGTGAGAGAGCGCGTGAGAGTGAGCGTGAGAGAGCGCGTGAGAGAGCGCGTGAGAGAGCGCACGTGAGAGAGCGTGTGAGAGAGCGCGTGAGAGAGGCCATGAGAGAGCGCGTGCGCGTGAGAGTGCACGTGAGAGTGCGCGTGAGGGAGCGCGTGAGAGAGCGCGTGAGAGAGCGCATGAGTGAGTGCGTGAGAGACAGCACGTGAGAAAGCGCATGAGAGAGAGTGTGAGAGAGCGCATGAGAGAGCGCGTGAGAGAGCGCGTGAGAGAGTGTGTGAGAGAGCGCATGAGTGAGTGCGTGAGAGACAGCACGTGAGAAAGCGCATGAGAGAGCGCGTGAGAGACGCATAAAAGAGCGCGTGAGAGAGTGCGTGAGAGAGCGCGTGAGAGCGCGTGAGAGCGCGTGAGCGAGCGCGTGAGCGAGCGCGTGAGAGAGCACGTGAGAGAGCGCGTGAGAGAGCGCGTGAGAGAGCGCGTGAGAGTGCGCGTGAGAGTGCGCGTTAGAGAGCGCGTGAGAGAGCGTGTGAGAGAGCGCATTAGGGAGCATGTGAGTGAGTGCGTGAGAGAGAGCACGTGAGAGAGCGCGTGAGAGTGCGAGTGAGAGAGCGCGTGAGAGTGCGAGTGGGAGAGCGCGTGAGAGTGCGCGTGAGAGAGCGCGTGAGAGAGCACGTGAGAGAGCGCGTGAGAGAGCCCATGAGAGAGCGCGTGCGAGTAAGAGTGCGCGCGAGGGAGCGCGTGAGGGTGAGCGTGAGAGAGCGCGTGAGAGAGCGTGTGAGAGTTCGCGTGAGAGAGCGTGAGAGAGCGTGAGAGAGCGCATGAGTGAGTGCGTGAGAGAGCGCGTGAGAGAGCGCATGAGATGGCGCATGAGCACGCTAGGACGTAAGCTCTAGCATCTATTCTGCTGGTGCTTGGGCAATTGGGGCTACTTATGCAAACGAGTGTCGCTTTCTGCGTTGGCGCTCAGAGTGCCGGCTTCTAAGGTGTTGGCGCCTCAGACGCTTGTCTAGGCTGCTGGCAACTAGTGAGCTAGTGCCTAGCACGCTCGCGCAGCGGGCTCTAACGCTTGAGCGCTGGCACCTAGTGTTCTGAGCCCTGTGGAGCTCGTACCTGAAGTGCTCATGGCCTTTGACACCTATCCACCAACCCTGGGACGCTTACTGCTTAAGGCGGGCGGGTGCGTTGCCGCGCGCTGGCGCCTTTCTGGAGTTCATCGGTCGGCGCCTCGCAGCGCACTCGTGCACTGCATTGCACTGGCGCCTTTCTGCTATGCGTTGACGCCTTGTGCAATGCATGTGAGGGAGGGTGATTTGTATTTCTTGCTTGGCCTCCTGTATGAGCACGTGTGTTGCAGTATCCTGTTTTTCCTTTCTTGTGCACACTGTGTAAACATACACTGTTTTTTGTGTAAGGTGTGTTTTGCTTTCTTTGTTCTTGCTTTCTTGTGCAGGAAGTGTGTGTGTTCACTTCCATGTTTTAACTTTGTGCAGGGCGTGTGTGTGTTGACTTCCCTGTTTTGTCTTTGTGCAGGGCGTGTGTGTGTTGACTTCCCTGTTTTATCTTTGTGCATGGCGTGTGTGTGTTGACTTCCCTGTTTTTGCCTGGACGTGTGTGTGTTAACTTCTCTGACTTTGCTTTGTGCAGGCCGCGAGCGTGAGCTGAGAAGGGAGATGAGGGAGTGGGATGGAGATGAGGGAAGGAGGGAGGGAGGGTTGTAGGGAGGGTATGGTGGGATAGGCTAGCAACTATTTATGCATTTCTGAATTTTATTCATGACGGTTGTGTGTTCATAACGGTATCTGTATCTATATGTGCTTGTTCGTGTGTGTGTTTATGTCTGTTCGTTGTGTTTGTTTCACTGTGGGGTTGCACTTCGATGCGTTCACAACCGTTACGTGGTGTTGTAAAATTTTACGTGCGTTTGCATTCGTGTTTGTGGGATGTGTGTTTCAAAGTGTGGTGTTACTGCGTGTCATGTATGCAATTAGAGGTTGTTAATCGTCTTTGGGGCAGCGTGTTTTCGCTGTTTCAACGACCCCATCAACCTCTGTTGCTACATGATGCATTTTAACATTCATTTCGAAGCATCCACTCCACCTCATACCTTGTTGTTCATTTGTACAATTGCAATCGTTCATGTTGATGCCAGAATATTATGCTCGGCCGTACGATCCGCCGTATTTATCGACGAGGTTGGGACGGTCGAGCAAGTTCATGGTTCAACATGATACGTACGTGCTCCGTTATTTGGTTTTACATATGGGGATCCCATTCAAGAGTGTTTTTTATTCACTATTTGAGGCATCCGTTTGAACACAGTTTCAAAACATTCAAACGGGTGCCCCGAAAAGTGCGTAAATATCACTCTTCAAATGATATCCCCAAAATGTCAAACCAAATATAAAGGGTTGCTACGCAACCCAAAAAGAATGCGCTTGACAGACTAAATCACCATATCTTCCGATTTCAAACATGTGCGCGTCTGACCGACAGACCAAATCCGTAAAAAAACACGAGGCAGTGACGGGCGCCTCGGAACTCAAGTTTCGGATCCCTTCAAAACCAAGTTTCAACGGCCCTGTTCGACAGAAACGCTTTGAGGTGACCTCGTTGGTTGGGCGGGAAACGGTTGCTATCGAACAGGGCCAACATATCATCGACAGTTATCGGGGAAGTCGGCTGGAGGGGGAACAGAAAGGGGTGGGTTCGTTTGTAAGACCAATTCGTTTTCGTTTTCCACCACTTTACACCACACCGCACCTTACGAACTCCTCGTCATAACTCGTCCTGCGATAAGTGTGGTTGGGTTGGGTTCTGTGGGATTGGACCGCGCAGTGCTGTTGCGGAAACCACACGACATGATACGCATTTATGACTAGATGCATTCTCGTAGTTCTCACGAAAACTAGACGCTGTGGTATTGGGCAACAACTGTACAGGGTATCGCAAACTTTAAGGACGCGTCACAAGTGAAACACCGAACCTGCGCAAGATCGGTGTTTCGCATTCACGACGTCGTTAAGTGCTGGTTACCTGTCTTCGTCATCCGTCGCCAATGTACAGTTGTCCCCTCGGAGTCGGGCGATCGATGTGCCCTTGTCACACATCGATCGTGCAATTTCGTCCACATCGGGCAATTTTGCCCCATGATTTTCCGAACGAGTCACTTGGGACTTGCGGTGGGCCCGCGATTGCAAAAATTCAGTCGTGGCACACCGATGTGGCGATCGATTTGGCAGGGTCGGTGAACAGCCCCGATCCTTCCTCGGTTTTTCAAATGTGACGCGTCCTAAGTAATCTGAAGGCTTTAAAAGTGGTGCAGGACGGCATATCGTACAAGCCAGGAAACCTGTCTCGTATCAACTTGCGCGACGCACGCCGCTCGTCACTCGTGCGAAGTGTGTAACTGAGCATCGCCGCGACGTCGACGTGGAGCGGTCCTTAAATTTCGCGAGCGAGCCTTTGCCGTGGAACAAGGTCGAGCTCAAGTACTACGTCGTGTCAGAAACATGGCGATGCTCGCACAAACAGTTACCACTAGGTTCACGAAATGTTCGCTCTCACCGTCTCCGCAGCCCACCTCATCATCCTCCCAGCAGACACATCCGCAGACACGTCGAGACCCACTATCCTCTTATATGTGGGGCGTGATATACGAAATCCTCTCCTCGCGGACACACCGCCGTAGACCTCCTCCGCCCTTCTAGTAATTACACGCCCGTGGACTCCAACGGATCGGAGCCTTTCCCGTCCGTGCTCCGGTCGCCTTTTTCCGAACCTAGTTGTAATTCTGGACCTTCCCGGACCTACCGCCGGACTTAGCGCCGGACCTACTATCAGACATACACCCGGACCTAATTCCCAACGGACCCGCTCTAGCGGACCTACTGCTTTCCGACCTCGCGAGTTCAATGGCGACGTTCGTCAAGCGGAGCCGCTGCCTGCTTCTGCTCCTGCTCCTGCTGCTGTTCCTCGCGGGTAAGCGGCGGGTAGTAGGAGCAGTGAAGCCGAGTGAAGCGGAGGTAGTAGGAGCGGGTAAACGGTGGTAGTAAGAGCAGTGAAGTTGAGTCGAGCCCTGCTCGCTCACAGCTGCGTCACGCTTGAACGCTTGTCTCCCTTCTGTTCTGTGCAGTGCTTCGTTGTGCTGTGCGGTGCGGTGCGGTGCGGCACTGTGCTGTGCTCTGTTCTGATCGGTCCGTTGCCGCACTGTGCTGTGCTGGCAGGCTCGCTGGACACTCCGTGGACGGCCATCCGCACTGCCGCTCTCGCGGTAAGCTCACCCTCTCGCAACGCAACACCCAATGTCACCTCGTAACGCGCATAAAGTGAGGCGAATCTCCAACCAAAAGCAAACATCATGACCCGCGCCCCCCCCCTCACACCCCATATTACCGCCAGTCTTTACCTTTATATGATGTGTGGCATTGCATCTACTGTCTATGTCGCACACACCATCCCATGCACCATCGCATGCATCATCGCATGCACCATCGCATGCACCATCGCATGCACCATCGCATGCACCATCCCATGCACCATCCCATGCAGCATCGCATGCACCATCCCATGCACCATCGCATGCACCATCCCATGCACCATCCCATGCAGCATCGCATGCACCATCCCATGCACCATCGCATGCACCATCGCATGCACCATCCCATGCACCATCCCATGCAGCATCGCATGCACCATCCCATGCACCATCGCATGCACCCTCGCATGCACCATCGCATGCACCATCCCATGCACCATCGCATGCACCATTGATTGCACCATCGCATGAACCATCCCATGCACCATCGCATGCACCCTCGCATGCACCATCCCATGCACCATCGCATGTACCATCGCATGCACCTTCACATGAACCATCGCGCGCACCATCGCATGCACCATCGCATGCACTGTCGCATGTACCATCCACATGGGTAACTGTGCTGCTGCTCTGTCATCTGTTGGTGCTGCTAACCTCCCCTCTTCTCCCCTCCCCTCTCTGTGTGTGGCAGGACGCCAAGACAGTGCTGGTGGGGTGGAGGTACACGAGGTGGAATCCGAGAGTGAAGACGTGGCCGCCCCCCCGAATCCTTCAGACCGACACAGTCGGTCAGTTGCTGCTGCTGTAGCTGACGTCACTCTGTACACTCTCTCCCCATTCCTCCTTCCCTCCCTCCCTCCCTCCCTCCCTCCCTCCCTCCCTCCCTCCCTCCCTCCCTCCCTCCCTCCCTCCCTCCCTCCCTCCCTCCCTCCCTCCCTCTCTTTCCTTCCATCTTTTGTGCTCGCTCTCCCTCTCTTAATCTCAAGTGGTCCTTTGATTCTCTGAGTAAAATCATTCAAGCCTCGCTCTCCCAGACTCTCACTCTCTTGCTCTACTACTCACAATGCCACTCTTACTCTCCCTACTCTCAAGTGGTCCTTCGATTCCCTGAGTATAAGCATTCAAGTCTCGCTCTCCCACACTCGCACTCTCTTGCTCAACTCACAATGCCTCTCTTACTCTCCCTACTGTCTTTCCCTCCCGCACGCGCGTTCTCCCCAACGGCAGTGTTCAAGTGGAATGATTGGCTGCACAAGCACAACGTGGTGGCCATCAGTGCTGCGCGCTTCAGCACATGCCACTTTGGGAGCAACGGCCTTCCATTCACCGTCCTCACCAAGGCATCCAAGCACGGCACTCTCAAGCTCTCAGCGGGCAGTAGCAGTTACACGGGGTACTTTACCAGCAGCGTTGGCAATGACTGCCTGAGGGGCATGAAGGTGGACATGCAGGTTGAACTCGTACCATTCTAACCATACACTTGCTCATTCATGCCACGTACCGTGATCCCCCGGAAAGCAGTTTGTTTGGAACGCTAACGTTTCCACCCGCCTGCATTAGCGGCCATGTCAGCAAGGCCTGCTTGTCAAGAGGCCTGCATTAGCGGCCATGTCAAGAGGCCTGCGAGCTCATTCCTGAAGCTTCGCCCCCATCCCACTGATACGGTAGTATGATGTGGCAACCGTTTGATTTCACTATGCAGTAATGAGGTACAACTTAGGGCATGTTCCTACGCTCTTATCAGGCAAGGCAAATCTCTTGTCAGCCTTGCCTGGTAAAAGTAGCGAGGGTTTTTGGGTTTAGGAGATTTTCATTGTGTTTTGACGCGAGCTTGATAAGAGTTGGTCTGATAAGGGGCCGTAGGAACATGCCCTTACAGGGACACAATTGAAGTACTTAACACAGGAGTGGAAAAGTACTTGCCAGAGGAACTTCAGCCTATTATCATATGCGCAGGCTCTTCTTTTTCTGCCTTCGCATCACTTTCCTCCCTTCTCTCCTCCACCCCTGCCTTGAGCTTCTTTTCTAAATGCCCTGCCACACGATCCACCGCTCCCAACCCCTCCTGCTCACCCGCACATCCCTTCCCACTACTCCCCACCCCATCTCCATTCTCAAATCCATGCTTCCGCTCTCCACTTGCTGCGACCCCCACTCCCACACCTCCTCTTCCTCCATCCAACCCCTCCACCCCCTCTCCCCTTCTCCCCTCCCCCTCTCTCCACACTGCCTCCACCTCATCCGTTCGAAACCGCTGAGTGCAAGTGGACTCCTTGATAGGAACAGTCATGCTGAGCCCGCCGTGCTGAAACGCCAGCAGCCCAGTGTAAGCAATCATGGCGCCGTTGTCAATGCAGTACCGGTCGTCGGTGGCAAAGAGCCGTCCCCCCCGTTCTAAGCACATCTGCTGCATCATCTCCTGCAGGCGAATGTTGCAGCCCACGCCCCCCACTATAAGCACGTCGCGCTTGTTGCAGTGTGCCATGGCCCGCTCGGTCGTCTCCACCAGCATCGCAAAGATGGTTTCCTGAGCAGCAAGAGAGAATGCAAGCAAGCAACCAACCGGCGCAAAAGACGGTCCGGTGGGAAGCAAGAGCTGAGGAGCGTGGTAAGCAGGGTCTGGGTGAGGAAGAGTGGACAAGGAGGGAGAAGCAGAGGCAAGCAGTGGTGTACGATTTCTAACTCGACTCAAAAATAGTCTCATCCCACGCGTGCCAAGCAAGAGAGGGTGGGCCAGTTCTGAGTCAACTCAAAGCAAGAGAGAGAGAGAGAGAGAGAGAGAGAGAGAGAAGGAGAGAGAGAGAGAGCGGACCTGCAGGGAGAAGCAGAGGTCAGCCGCGGTGTAGCCATCCTCCCCCACGCTGTCCGGTGCAGCAACGCGCTGTGCCAGGCCCTCAACTGCTGTGAGGAGGCCCGAGAAGGACACGTCCATGCCCTTCACCACGTAGGGCAGCTCCACGTAGCGCTGCCCTTGCTTCGCCAGCTGCAGAGCGCGGAGGGGTGGAGGGGACAGGATGAGTGGAGGGGCCAGGATGGGTGGAGAGACCAGGATGGGTGGAGAGACCATGGGAGATAAGGCGTGATAGAGAGGGGGGAGGAGGGAGGGGTGATGTGAGAGTGGTGTTTAGGAGAGGGTGAGCACTGGCAGCACAAGGGGAGCAGAAAGAGAGCGAGTGAATGTGAGGGCCACATACAGAGCACAGCGACCATACACGGCTGTGGGCTGCACACAGTCTGGCGTTCTTCCCTTCAGCCAATCTTCCCACGTCCTCACATTCCCTGCTCCCAAGTTTTCTACCTCCTCAGATTTTCTGCTCCCAGTACTTCCACCTCCTCAGATCCCTCCCTCCCCTCCCCCCCCTTGCAGTGTATTTGTAGCCCTGGTTTGTTGCGAGCGACTGCTTTGGACCAACGCAAAGCAGTCTCGATCGTCGTACAAACCATGCCTGCCCACACCTACCCACACCTACCCGCACCTACCAGAACCTATCCACACCCATCCTCACCTGCTCAATGTTGTATCCGGGGCTGGGGTCATTGGAGATGTTGAGCACACGGGCGAAGCGGTCCATTTGCACCTGTCTGCACCTACCTGCACCTACCTGCACCTACCTGCACCTACCTGCTCAATGTTGTAGCCGGGGCTGGGGTCGTTGGAGATGTTCAGCACGCGGGCGAAGCGGTCCAGGCAGTTGCCCACGGCGATGTCAATGGTCTCCCCGAATATGCGGTACCGCCCCTCTGAGTATGCTATCACCTGGAGGGAGGAGAGGGGCATGGGGGATGAAAGGGGAGAGCTCAACCTTAGGGGGCATGGGGGATGAAAGGGGAGAGCTCAACCTTAGGGGGCATGGGGGATGAAAGGGGAGAGCTCAACCTTAGGGGGCATGGGGGATGAAAGGGGAGAGCTCAACCTTAGGGGGCATGGGGGATGAAAGGGGAGAGCTCAACCTTAGGGGGCATGGGGGATGAAAGGGGAGAGCTCAACCTTAGGGGGCATGGGGGATGAAAGGGGAGAGCTCAACCTTAGGGGCCATGGGGGATGAAAGGGGAGAGCTCAACCTTAGGGGGCATGGGCGATGAAAGGGGAGAGCTCAACCTTAGGGGGCATGGGGGATGAAAGGGGAGAGCTCAACCTTAGGGGGCATGGGGGATGAAAGGGGAGAGCTCAACCTTAGGGGGCATGGGGGATGAAAGGGGAGAGCTCAACCTTAGGGGGCATGGGCGATGAAAGGGGAGAGCTCAACCTTAGGGGGCATGGGGGATGAAAGGGGAGAGCTCAACCTTAGGGGGCATGGGGGATGAAAGGGGAGAGCTCAACCTTAGGGGGCATGGGGGATGAAAGGGGAGAGCTCAACCTTAGGGGGCATGGGGGATGAAAGGGGAGAGCTCAACCTTAGGGGGCATGGGGATGAAAGGGGAGAGCTCAACCTTAGGGGGCATGGGGGATGAAAGGGGAGAGCTCAACCTTAGGGGGCATGGGGGATGAAAGGGGAGAGCTCAACCTTAGGGGGCATGGGGGATGAAAGGGGAGAGCTCAACCTTAGGGGCCATGGGGGATGAAAGGGGAGAGCTCAACCTTAGGGGGCATGGGGGATGAAAGGGGAGAGCTCAACCTTAGGGGGCATGGGCGATGAAAGGGGAGAGCTCAACCTTAGGGGGCATGGGGGATGAAAGGGGAGAGCTCAACCTTAGGGGGCATGGGCGATGAAAGGGGAGAGCTCAACCTTAGGGGGCATGGGGGATGAAAGGGGAGAGCTCAACCTTAGGGGGCATGGGGGATGAAAGGGGAGAGCTCAACCTTAGGGGGCATGGGCGATGAAAGGGGAGAGCTCAACCTTAGGGGGCATGGGGGATGAAAGGGGAGAGCTCAACCTTAGGGGGCATGGGCGATGAAAGGGGAGAGCTCAACCTTAGGGGGCATGGGGGATGAAAGGGGAGAGCTCAACCTTAGGGGGCATGGGGGATGAAAGGGGAGAGCTCAACCTTAGGGGGCATGGGGGATGAAAGGGGAGAGCTCAACCTTAGGGGGCATGGGGGATGAAAGGGGAGAGCTCAACCTTAGGGGGCATGGGGGATGAAAGGGGAGAGCTCAACCTTAGGGGGCATGGGGGATGAAAGGGGAGAGCTCAACCTTAGGGGGCATGGGGGATGAAAGGGGAGAGCTCAACCTTAGGGGGCATGGGGGATGAAAGGGGAGAGCTCAACCTTAGGGGGCATGGGGGATGAAAGGGGAGAGCTCAACCTTAGGGGGCATGGGGGATGAAAGGGGAGAGCTCAACCTTAGGGGGCATGGGGGATGAAAGGGGAGAGCTCAACCTTAGGGGGCATGGGCGATGAAAGGGGAGAGCTCAACCTTAGGGGGCATGGGGGATGAAAGGGGAGAGCTCAACCATAGGGGGCATGGGGGATGAAAGGGGAGAGCTCAACCTTAGGGGCCATGGGGGATGAAAGGGGGGAGCTCAACCTTAGGGGGCATGGGCGATGAAAGGGGAGAGCTCAACCTTAGGGGGCATGGGGGATGAAAGGGGAGAGCTCAACCTTAGGGGGCATGGGGGATGAAAGGGGAGAGCTCAACCTTAGGGGGCATGGGGGATGAAAGGGGAGAGCTCAACCTTAGGGGGCATGGGGGATGAAAGGGGAGAGCTCAATCTTAGGGGGCATGGGGGATGAAAGGGGAGAGCTCAACCTTAGGGGGCATGGGGGATGAAAGGGGAGAGCTCAACCTTAGGGGGCATGGGCGATGAAAGGGGAGAGCTCAACCTTAGGGGCCATGGGGGATGAAAGGGGAGAGCTCAACCTTAGGGGGCATGGGGGATGACAGGGGAGAGCTCAACCTTAGGGGGCATGGGGGATGAAAGGGGAGAGCTCAATCTTAGGGGGCATGGGGGATGAAAGGGGAGAGCTCAACCTTAGGGGGCATGGGGGATGAAAGGGGAGAGCTCAACCTTAGGGGGCATGGGCGATGAAAGGGGAGAGCTCAACCTTAGGGGCCATGGGGGATGAAAGGGGAGAGCTCAACCTTAGGGGGCATGGGGGATGAAAGGGGAGAGCTCAACCTTAGGGGGCATGGGGGATGAAAGGGGAGAGCTCAACCTTAGGGGAAATGGGGGATGAAAGGGGAGAGCTCAACCTTAGGGGGCATGGGGGATGAAAAGGGAGAGCTCAACCTTAGGGGGCATGGGGGATGAAAGGGGAGAGCTCAACCTTAGGGGGCATGGGGGATGAAAGGGGAGAGCTCAACCTTAGGGGGCATGGGCGATGAAAGGGGAGAGCTCAACCTTAGGGGGCATGGGGGATGAAAGGGGAGAGCTCAACCTTAGGGGGCATGGGGGATGAAAGGGGAGAGCTCAACCTTAGGGGGCATGGGGGATGAAAGGGGAGAGCTCAACCTTAGGGGGCATGGGGGATGAAAGGGGAGAGCTCAACCTTAGGGGGCATGGGGGATGAAAGGGGAGAGCTCAACCTTAGGGGGCATGGGCGATGAAAGGGGAGAGCTCAACCTTAGGGGGAATGGGGGATGAAAGGGGAGAGCTCAACCTTAGGGGGCATGGGGGATGAAAGGGGAGAGCTCAACCTTAGGGGGCATGGGCGATGAAAGGGGAGAGCTCAACCTTAGGGGGCATGGGGGATGAAAGGGGAGAGCTCAACCTTAGGGGGCATGGGGGATGAAAGGGGAGAGCTCAACCTTAGGGGGCATGGGCGATGAAAGGGGAGAGCTCAACCTTAGGGGGCATGGGGGATGAAAGGGGAGAGCTCAACCTTAGGGGGCATGGGGGATGAAAGGGGAGAGCTCAACCTTAGGGGGCATGGGCGATGAAAGGGGAGAGCTCAACCTTAGGGGGCATGGGGGATGAAAGGGGAGAGCTCAACCTTAGGGGGCATGGGGGATGAAAGGGGAGAGCTCAACCTTAGGGGGCATGGGGGATGAAAGGGGAGAGCTCAACCTTAGGGGGCATGGGCGATGAAAGGGGAGAGCAAACCCTAAGGGGGCATGGGGGATGAAAGGGGAGAGCTCAACCTTAGGGGGCATGGGGGATGAAAGGGGAGAGCTCAACCTTAGGGGGCATGGGCGATGAAAGGGGAGAGCAAACCCTAAGGGGGCATGGGGGATGAAAGGGGAGAGCTCAACCTTAGGGGGCATGGGGGATGAAAGGGGAGAGCTCAACCTTAGGGGGCATGGGCGATGAAAGGGGAGAGCTCAACCTTAGGGGGCATGGGGGATGAAAGGGGAGAGCTCAACCTTAGGGGGCATGGGGGATGAAAGGGGAGAGCTCAACCTTAGGGGGCATGGGGGATGAAAGGGGAGAGCTCAACCTTAGGGGGCATGGGCGATGAAAGGGGAGAGCTCAACCTTAGGGGGCATGGGGGATGAAAGGGGAGAGCTCAACCTTAGGGGGCATGGGGGATGAAAGGGGAGAGCTCAACCTTAGGGGGCATGGGGGATGAAAGGGGAGAGCTCAACCTTAGGGGGCATGGGGGATGAAAGGGGAGAGCTCAACCTTAGGGGGCATGGGGGATGAAAGGGGAGAGCTCAACCTTAGGGGGCATGGGCGATGAAAGGGGAGAGCTCAACCTTAGGGGGAATGGGGGATGAAAGGGGAGAGCTCAACCTTAGGGGGCATGGGGGATGAAAGGGGAGAGCTCAACCTTAGGGGGCATGGGCGATGAAAGGGGAGAGCTCAACCTTAGGGGGCATGGGGGATGAAAGGGGAGAGCTCAACCTTAGGGGGCATGGGGGATGAAAGGGGAGAGCTCAACCTTAGGGGGCATGGGCGATGAAAGGGGAGAGCTCAACCTTAGGGGGCATGGGGGATGAAAGGGGAGAGCTCAACCTTAGGGGGCATGGGGGATGAAAGGGGAGAGCTCAACCTTAGGGGGCATGGGCGATGAAAGGGGAGAGCTCAACCTTAGGGGGCATGGGGGATGAAAGGGGAGAGCTCAACCTTAGGGGGCATGGGGGATGAAAGGGGAGAGCTCAACCTTAGGGGGCATGGGGGATGAAAGGGGAGAGCTCAACCTTAGGGGGCATGGGCGATGAAAGGGGAGAGCAAACCCTAAGGGGGCATGGGGGATGAAAGGGGAGAGCTCAACCTTAGGGGGCATGGGGGATGAAAGGGGAGAGCTCAACCTTAGGGGGCATGGGCGATGAAAGGGGAGAGCAAACCCTAAGGGGGCATGGGGGATGAAAGGGGAGAGCTCAACCTTAGGGGGCATGGGGGATGAAAGGGGAGAGCTCAACCTTAGGGGGCATGGGCGATGAAAGGGGAGAGCTCAACCTTAGGGGGCATGGGGGATGAAAGGGGAGAGCTCAACCTTAGGGGGCATGGGGGATGAAAGGGGAGAGCTCAACCTTAGGGGGCATGGGGGATGAAAGGGGAGAGCTCAACCTTAGGGTGCATGGGGGATGAAAGGGGAGAGCTCAACCTTAGGGGGCATGGGCGATGAAAGGGGAGAGCTCAACCTTAGGGGGCATGGGGGATGAAAGGGGAGAGCTCAACCTTAGGGGGCATGGGGGATGAAAGGGGAGAGCTCAACCTTAGGGGGCATGGGGGATGAAAGGGGAGAGCTCAACCTTAGGGGGCATGGGGGATGAAAGGGGAGAGCTCAACCTTAGGGGGCATGGGGGATCGAATCTCTGAGGAATGCCCCTTTTAGGGGTGACGGGCAATTCGCAAGCACATGTACAAACACACCAGTACCTGTGTGTACCATACCATACAACCACACGTGCACCGCACACCACAGCACCGCACAGCACCGCACCGCGCAGCACAGCCCAGCACAGCACCGCAAAGCACAATACAGCACAGCACAGCACCACACAGCACCCACCTGAGTGTTGCCGCCGCTGACATAAAGAACCACGGGGTCATGAGCGCCAGTCACGCAGCGCCCCATGTCCATGTGCGCCACACAGTGGTTCACCGGCACTATGCGCTTGCACCACACACCACCGCACAGCACTGCACCACACACCACAGCACAGCACACAGCACGCACCTGTGTGTTGCCTCCACTGACGTAGAGCACCACGGGGTCATGGGCGCCAGTCACGCAGCGCCCCATCTCTATGTGCGCCACACAGTGGTTCACTGGCACTATGGGCTTCCCCCACAGCTGCTCAATGCTCATGGTGGACGGGGAAGGCGGGGAGAGAGGAGGGGGGGACGGGAGTGAGGGGAGCCTGGGATTGGTTGGCCTTGGGAATTGCATCAGTGTGCGCCACACAGTGATTCACGGATGGGGGAGATGGGGATGGGGAATTGGGGGATGGGGGATGAGGGATGGGGGATTGAGGGGTGGGGGGGGATGGCGGATGGGGGATGGGGGGGGGAGGGGGAATGGGGGATGTGGGATGGGGGCGTTTAATGGCCTTGGGAATTGCATCGATGAGGGCCACACAGTACTTCACCGGGACTATGGGCTTGCGCCACAGTTGCTAGCGGTCACCTCACCTAGCCCCACTTGTTGGTGCAACCCTACGGTTTGCACTCGGCTTGTTGTCCGTGTGCGTGAATGTGTGTGTGTATGGAATGGTATGAGGGCATGGGATAATATATATTTCATGCTTATAATTGTGTGTGAATGTTGAGTCATGATGTCGAGTGTGTGTGTCGAGTCAATAGCGAGTTATCGCTAGACGCGTGTTACGCGGTTGTTTGTGTCTCGCGCGCGGTTTCTATTTTGTCGTGCGCGGTTTCTATTTTGTCCTGTGTCGAACGTTCGGCGTGTCGCAGGTGTGTGCAGCAGACCCATCAAGAACTCAAGGATGAGTTTGTGATGAAGAGCCCGAGCCTTGGTGTCAAGCCTCAAGTGATTTCGAAGCTTGCCAAAATGGTACACCTCAAGATATTGAAGATAGTTACATTACTTTGTGTAGTGTAACATTTCACTTGGTGTAGGCCCTAGTGAAGGGTAGTTTCGAGACCCTTCGTGGTTGGGGACAGTGTGGCACTGTTCCACATCACTGTACCTCGGCTCTTGGGGTTTGTAGGAGCTGGGAGTCATTCCCAACTCGTAACTCTTCCTATCTTGTGTTCTAAGACTATAGTGGCTGCCATAGTACCGTTCGTTCAAACCGACGCTGTGTCGTCAATTTTTTATCAAATCGTGCAATCTAAATTGCTAATTGTAGACGACGTGAAGACGCTCCAGATCCAATTTGAATCAAGTCATTTGCAGCTGTGAGCAGAACGCTATCAACGTTTGAAGCCGCTGTGCAGAAATCCGTCTGTGCTCTCTATCTTTCGTTTTAGGCACATTCAAGCCTATTGTGACTATAACAAGTGGTATCAGAGGCCCTTGGAGCAGTTTCGACAATGTCTGGACCTGAGGAAAGGGGTGGCAGAGGTGCTGGTGGCAGTGGAGAAGCTCAAGCTCAAGGCCAACCCCGTGATTCAGCCATAGCGCCCATGCAACCAAGTCTTGGCCCACCTAGGGATGAGCCTAGGGTGTTTGGGCTTGACAAGTTCAACGGTGACAACTTTGCTGAATGGTCCTTCAAGATGGAGAACATCTTTGACCACTATGACCTGCTGGAGGTGATGGAAGGAACGGAGAAGCGCCCCGAGAACGACCCGGAGAAGAGCCCGTGGGTGCGGAAGAGCGCACAAGGCTATCTCTTACTTGGGCAAGCGTTGGGGAGCAGTCAGATCCGTCACATCAAGCCATTCCAGCGTGAACCAGAGAAAGGACCAAAGGCATGGGCTGCTCTCAAGGGTGTACATGCTCCTGCAACAGCGACGGTAGCGGTGGTGTTGGAACGGCAAATGGCGGCACTACGAATTGAAGAAGACGAAGCGGTTGAAGAAGGGGTGCAGAAATTCTTCGACTTGTTGACGCGGCTTGAGGGAGCTGATTTGAACTACAGTGAGCTCCAAAAGAAGACCAAGTTGCTGGCCTTACTCCCAGAGTCATGGTCCTCGCTCATCATCAACCTTAATCGCGACTTGCCCCGCCTCTCGCTTGAAGACGTGAAGCGAGCTATCCTTCAAGAGGATTTCCGCCGCCGTGAGTTGGCGAGTGCGGATGGCGCTGGGGCAGCGAGCATCGGCCGTGGATATGGTCGAGGAAGAGGCAGAGGACGAGGGGGAGGAAGGTTTGGTGGCAGCAACTTCGGCGGAGGCCGCAGGAGTGGCGGTTACGGCAGCGACGACAAGAGCTACGGACGCGGTCGCGGCCGATTCGACGGCGAGTGTCACTATTGCCACAAGAGCGGACACATGTGGCGCGACTGCTACAAACTCCCTGATGGTTGGACCCCTGCTCAAGGCCAAGAGGGTAGAGGAGCAGGAGGAGGGAGAGGACGAGGCCGTGGAGGCCGTGGCGGTCGCGGTGGCGGAGCTGCAAACATGAAGAGCGGAGACAACGACAAGGACCCGAGCGACGATCGATACCCGGGTCTATTCTACTTCGTGTCGACGCAAGTACCGGCTGGTCCGGAGAAGGATGAAGGCTTTGAGGAGCCAGCAGCTGTGGGGAAGGTGACCCTACACCCCCTGGACTATTGGGTGATTGATAGTGGCGCTACCTATAGCATGACACCTCGCCCGGACTTGCTCACCGAACTCGAGCCGTCACCGGTGAAGCATGTCACATCGGCTTTGGGGCAGCGAGCAGAGGTGAAAGGCATGGGCAAGGCCATGTTCAAGGGTGCTGATGGGAAGATGGTGGGCCTCAAGAACGTGCTTTGGGTGCCCAGCCTTGCTGCAAACCTGATTTCCGTGCGGCGGTTGGCAAAGGCCGGCATGGACACGAACTCGAAGGGAGCCAAGACCTACACCGCAAGGCTTGGCGATCGAATTCTTTGGGACCTTCATGAGGACAGGGATGTCTACAACGAGATGTGGCAGATCCCAGTGGTCCCTATGCCTAAGGAGAGGCAAGTGGCAGCAAGCATCAGCACCAAGGATGGAGCGGTCGGTAGCGACGATGGCGCGAACGGTCGCGCTAAGGAGAATGAGCTCAAGAAGAGCAAACCTGGAGGGACCAGCAAGTTCAGTGAACCTAAGGAGAGTGGTGCAGCAACCAAGGAGCAGCAAAAGGGTGAGGAGAACCCAGAGGCAGCAGCGGAGGAGGACTACGGAGAGAGTATGTGGGGCGCTATTGCGAGCGCGGCATTCTCCAATCCAACTTCGGCTACGGGGGAGTGTGATTGGCTCACCTTGCATCGGCGCATGGGGCATGTGGCCCTGCCCATCTTGCAGCAGCTAGTGAAGAATGAGATGGTTGCTGGCATACGTGTGAAGGGGGAGCCCGATGAGGTGCTTGGCTGCCCGACGTGCATTCAAGCCAAGTTCACCCGGTTTCCGTTCCCTAGTTCGGAGGCAACGGCAAAGGCACCGCTTGATGAGGTGGTGATGGACGTGGTGGGCCCCCTGAAGCTTGGAGCTGCTGGAGCTGAGTATTTTCTCACCATTGTCGACGTCTACACCCGCATGACTTGGGTGTACGTGCTGGCCAAGAAGAGCGACGTGGCTGAAACGTTGAAGACGGATTGGTTCCCGATGGTGGAGCGGCAACAAGACCGTCTAGTCAAGTCAATCCGCACCGATCGAGGGGGAGAGTTCTTGAGCAAGGAGTTTGGGTTGTGGCTGAAGAAGAATGGTATTCGGCACTCCCTCACCATGCCATACTCCCCTGCAATGAACGGCATCGCCGAGCGAGCGAACCGCACAATCACGGAGGCGGCACGCGGGTTGCTCATTGAAGCCGGGCTACCCGACTATTTCTGGCCTGATGCGGTGCGGAGCGCGTGTGTGGCCAAGAACAGAGCCTTGAATCATGTGGGAGCAGACAAATGGGTGCCCTATGTGGAGTGGCTAGGAAGGAAGCCAAAGGTGGATATGCTTCGGGTGTTCGGGTGCATGTGCATGGCGCTCGTGCCTAAGCATCTTCGGCACAACAAGCTTGGTGCCAAGGCGGTGTGGGCCGTGCACTTGGGCATGGCTCAAAACAGCAAGGGATGGCTTCTTTGGGACCCATTCACCAAGAAGTTCTTGGTGAGCAGGGACTGCAAGTTCATGGAGAACTTCATGTACAAGGATTGGAAGGCGGAGAATGAGGCGAAGATAGGCGTGCGGTTTGGGGAGGTGAAGAGTTCCGGTTTGTAGCATGTGGAGCTGCCTTTGGAGCTGAGCAGCGGCAGCACAACCACAAGGCAATCCTCCCTTGTGAATGGGGGAGAGGAGGCCAATGATGCAGAGGAAGAAGAGGAGGAGGTGCAGCAAGTGAGCGAGCGTGCACCGTCACTCTCTTCCCGTACTACGAGTGCTCCACGGATTCGAGCCACACCGCAGCAACGCCAAGGCCTTCAAGTCCCTGCAGCTGAGGAGGAAAGGAAGGGGGAAGAGGAGAGTTCAACCCCCTAATAGGCTGACCTATGATGCGCCGGGAAAGCAGGGCAAGACAGCCCTGGCCGGAGCGGCAATGATGGTCGGAGACGACGAGGAGAGTGACTACGAGGAGTGTGCCTTCGCGTTCTTCTCTCCGGTGGAGATGCCGGGAGAACCAGCAACTCTCAAGGAGGCTTTGGAGAGTAGTGATGCTGAGGAGTGGAAGAAGGCCATGGAGAGTGAGCTGAAGAGCATCGAGGAGAATGACACGTTTGAATTGGTGGAGCTACCGGAGGGGCGTACGGCGATAACGTCCAAGTGGCTCTTCAAAATCAAGTCGGATGCCGACGGCAAGATCGAGCGCTACAAGTCTAGGCTTGTAGCCAAGGGGTACCAGCAGAAGGAGAAGGTGGACTTCAAGGAGCTGTTTGCCCCTGTGGTGAAGCCGACGACGCTGCGAACCCTATTCGCGGGAGCCGCCATCAAAGGATGGGTAGTAAAGCAAATGGACATCGTAACGGCATTCCTTAACGGCATCCTTGAGGAAGAGATTTTTATGGCGCAGCCAGAGGGGTTTGATGATGGTAGTGGCAGAGTGTGGAAGCTGAAGAAGGCCCTCTATGGGCTGAAGCAGGCCCCTAGGCAATGGTACATGAAGCTGCGCGAAGTGTTGGAGGGGATCGGCTTCACTCCCTCAACGGCCGATCACTCCTTGTTCATGCTTAGCGAGGGGGAGCAGAGGAGTTTCATGGTGGTTTATGTGGATGACATCCTCATTTTCTCACCCTCTTTTGACCTTGTGAAGGAGGTGATGCTGAAGCTTCAAGACAAGTTCAAGTGCAAAGCCCTTGGTGACGTGAGCTTCTACCTTGGGCTCCACATCGAACGAGATGTGGAGAAGCGGTGCATGCGGGTGCATCAACGAAAGTACCTGGAGGCATTGGCTGCCAACTTTGGGCAGAGTGAAGGCCATGTGGCTACACCCTTTCCCTCTGGGTTCAAGTGTGTGAAGGGACCAGAGGAGGAGAGCGTTGGTGAAGAGGAGAGGCGCCGATTTCACTCGTTGGTGGGCAGCCTCATGTATGCGGCGGTAAACACCCGACCGGACGTCGCGTTTGCTACCGGGCAGCTGGCTAGGGTTGTGCAATGCCCTAATGAGGAGCAGGTAGCAGCTGGAATGAGGGTGGCCAAGTATCTTGGCCAAACACCGACCGTTGGGCTGCAATACTCGGCGGCGGCACAAAGGCGCCAAAAGGGCGCGGATGGTGTTGAACCCGGGCGTTTGTTCCTCACCGCCTACTCGGATGCTTCATATGCATCAGAACCAGAGGACATGACAAGTGTGGGAGGCTTCATATGCTGTGTTGGTGGAGGCCCAACTGCTTGGGAGAGCAAGAAGCAGGTTGACCAAGCTTTGAGCTCGGTGGAGTCCGAGTACATGGCACTCTTCCGTGCCGTACGGGAGATTGTGTGGCAGCGGCGTTTGTTGGCTGAATTGGGGGAGGAGCAGCAAGGACCTACCCCATTGTACTGTGACAGCCAGGGTGCCATTGCTCTTGCTAAGAACCCTGTGTTGCATGGACTCACGAAGCACATGAGGGTGAAGTGGCATTGGACGAGGAGCATGGTAACCGCGGGTGAAGTTGAGTTGCGCTGCGTGAAGACCACGGGGCAGCCGGCTGACATGATGACCAAGAGGCTGGTGGAGCAGCAGCATTGGAAGTGTTGCAAGCTTGCTGGGATGGCTCTGAACTGAGAGAGCAACATATCCTAAGGCCAACAATCCGAGGGGGAGTTTGTTGGTGCAACCCTACGGTTTGCACTCGGCTTGTTGTCCGTGTGCGTGAATGTGTGTGTGTATGGAATGGTATGAGGGCATGGGATAATATATATTTCATGCTTATAATTGTGTGTGAATGTTGAGTCATGATGTCGAGTGTGTGTGTCGAGTCAATAGCGAGTTATCGCTAGACGCGTGTTACGCGGTCGTTTGTGTCTCGCGCGCGGTTTCTATTTTGTCGTGCGCGGTTTCTATTTTGTCCTGTGTCGAACGTTCGGCGTGTCGCAGGTGTGTGCAGCAGACCCATCAAGAACTCAAGGATGAGTTTGTGATGAAGAGCCCGAGCCTTGGTGTCAAGCCTCAAGTGATTTCGAAGCTTGCCAAAATGGTACACCTCAAGATATTGAAGATAGTTACATTACTTTGTGTAGTGTAACATTTCACTTGGTGTAGGCCCTAGTGAAGGGTAGTTTCGAGACCCTTCGTGGTTGGGAACAGTGTGGCACTGTTCCACATCACTGTACCTCGGCTCTTGGGGTTTGTAGGAGCTGGGAGTCATTCCCAACTCGTAACTCTTCCTATCTTGTGTTCTAAGACTATAGTGGCTGCCATAGTACCGTTCGTTCAAACCGACGCTGTGTCGTCAATTCTTTATCAAATCGTGCAATCTAAATTGCTAATTGTAGACGACGTGAAGACTCTCCAGATCCAATTTGAATCAAGTCATTTGCAGCTGTGAGCAGAACGCTATCAACGTTTGAAGCCGCTGTGCAGAAATCCGTCTGTGCTCTCTATCTTTCGTTTTAGGCACATTCAAGCCTATTGTGACTATAACACCACTTCACCTGCCCTCACTCCACTTCACCTGCCCTCACTCCACTTCACCTGCCCTCACTCCACTCCACCTGCCCTCACTCCACTTCACCTGCCCTCACTACACTTCACCTGCCCTCACTCCTCTTCACCTGCCTTCACTCCACTTCACCTGCCCTCACTCCACTCCACTTCTTCACCTACCCCCATCCCACCTCACCTACCTCCACCGCACTTCACCTGGGCGAGCGTGCGGACAACGATGGCAACGGCCTGCAGAGGGGCGCCCATGCCCGGCCCCTTGGTGTAGCACAGACAGTGTATGTCCCCCGGGGTTATGCCCGCCTGCTCATGCTCACATGCACACATGCTCACAGGCACACATGAACACATGCACACATGCACACATGCACACAGACATACACACGCACACGCACGCACACACCCACACACACAGAGCAGAGCACAGCCAGAAGCATAGCGGTGGGTAAGGGGCGAGTGAGATGGGCCAGGACGTGCAGCAGAGGGGCGAGTGAGATGGGCCAGGACGTGCAGCACAGGGGCGACACATATCCCTATTTGGAGCTAGCTAGGCAGCGGGAGTTCAGATCGTTTGGAGATTCCCATGCATGCTCGCATGGCGAATCCTGACCTGTTCTGGTATGCGTTGAGGGGAGGCGTTAAATAGGGGGAGAGAAGGCAGGTTCATATGTGCACTGCAGGTACTGGATCGACGGCGTATGGGGGGAGAGAGAGGGCAGGTTCATTCGTGCTGTGCAGGTACTGGATCGACGGACGCCAGCAATCCCGCACGCACCTCGTCGAACCAGCCCCGCCGCACGCACCTCGCGCAGCGCGCGCTCCACGAGCGGCAGAATCTTCTGCTGGTGGTGCGCCGCGGTCTCGCGCGGCAGGAAGCCGTGGCCGGGCGGCGTGATGTACGTGCAGCGCGGGTTGCTCAGAATGCTCCCGTCGCTGCGCACCACGCCCACGCCCAGCTTGTTCGCCGACCCCTCCACGCCCAGCGCCAACATGATGGCGCGCGCTTGGCGCAAAGAAGGGATTCGGGAGGGGAGGACGAGGGTGGTGGGAGGGTGGTAGCACGGAATGGAGTTTTGCTCTCGAGTTCGTGACTCGAACGACAGAAATACTGTAGTCGATATCACCTTGGAAACATTTGTACCAGGTGTTTCACCATTGAGTCACTCCAGCATTCAGTCGCAACTGGTTACCGGTACAATATGCGGTAGTCTTCAAGGATTTCAGTAAAAGCATGAATGGTTTTACAATTTAATTTCGATTCCGTTTACATTAAATCCGTTTTTTCACTGTACAATCCCATTCACATTTTCCGAACGTGACTCAATGGTGAAACACCTGGGCAGAGTCATCACTATGTATTGACGAGTTCAACTTGCATGTCCACCTTCATGCCCCGGAGGCAGTCATTGCCAACGCTGCTGGTAAAGTACCCCGTGTAACTGCTACTGCCCGCTGAGAGCTTGAGAGTGCCGTGCTTGGATGCCTTGGTGAGGACGGTGAATGGAAGGCCGTTGCTCCCAAAGTGGCATGTGCTGAAGCGCGCAGCACTGATGGCCACCACGTTGTGCTTGTGCAGCCAATCATTCCACTTGAACACTGCCGTTGGGGAGAACGCATGTGCGGGAGGGAAAGACAGTAGGGAGAGTAAGAGTGCCATTGTGAGCAAGAGAGTGAGAGTGTGGGAGAGCGATACTTGAATAATTATACTCAGGGAATCAAAGGACGACTTGAGCGTAAGAGAGGGTGTGCGAGCAAGAAAGATGGAAGGAAAGAGAGGGACAGAGAGAGAGGAGGGGGGAGGGAGGGAGGGAGGGAGGGAGGGAGGGAGGGAGGGAGGGAGGGAGGGAGGGAGGGAGGGAGGGAGGGAGGGAGGGAGGGAGGGAGGGGGGGAGGGAGGGAGCGAGGGAGCGAGGGAGCGAGGGAGGGAGCGAGGGAGCGAGGGAGGGAGCGAGGGAGGGAGGGAGGGAGGGAGGGAGGGAGGGAGGGAGGGAGGGAGGGAGGGAGGGAGGGAGGGAGGGAGGGAGGGAGGGAGGGAGGGAGGGATGGAAGGAGGAATGGGGAGAGAGTGTACAGAATGACGTCAGGTACAGCAGCAGCAACTGACCGAGTGTGTCGGTCTGAAGGATTCGGGGGGGCGGCCACGTCTTCACTCTCGGATTCCACCGCGTGTACCTCCACCCCACCAGCACTGTCTTGGCGTCCTGCCACACACAGGGGAGGGAGGGGGGAGGAGGGGAGGTTAGCAGCACCAACAGATGACAGAGCAGCAGCACAGTTACCCATGTGGATGGTACATGCGACAGTGCATGTGATGGTGCATGCGATGGTGCGCGCGATGGTTCATGCGATGGTGCATGCGATGGTGCATGCGATGGTGCATGGGATGGTTCATGCGATGGTGCATGCGAGGGTGCATGCGATGGTGTATGCAATGGTGCACGCGATGGTGCTTGCGATGGTGCTTGCGATGGTGCTTGCGATGGTTCATGCAATGGTATATGCGATGGTGCATTTGAAGGTGCATGCGATGGTACATGCGATGGTGCAATCGATGGTGCATGCAATTGTGCATGCGATGGAGCATGTGAAGGTGCATGCGATGGTGCATGCGATGGTGCATGCAATTGTGCATGTGAAGGTGCATGCGATGGTACATGCGATGGTGCTTCTGATGGCTCATGCGATGGTGCACGCGACGGTGCACGCGATGGTTCATGCGATGGTACATGCAATGGTACATGCAATGGTACATGCAATGGTACATGCAATGGTGCACGCGATGGTACATGCAATGGTACATGCAATGGTACATGCAATGGTACATGCAATGGTGCACGAGATGGTACATGCAATGGTACATGCAATGGTACATGCAATGGTGCACGCGATGGTACATGCGATGGTGCTTCTGATGGTTCATGCGATGGTGCATGCGATGGTGCATGCGATGGTGCATGCGATGGTGCATGCAATGGTGCACGCGATGTTGCATGCGATGGTGCTTGCGATGGTGCTTGCGATGGCTCATGCAATGGTATATGCGATGGTGCAACCGATGGTGCAATCGATGGTGCATGCGATCGTGCATGCAATGGTGCATGCGATGGTGCATGTGAAGGTGGATGAGATGGTACATGCGATGGCACAATCGATGGTGCAATCGATGGTGCTTGCGATGGTGCATGTGAAGGTGCATGCGATGGTACATGCGATGGTGCTTCTGATGGTTCATGCGATGGTGCACGCGATGGTGCATGCGATGGTGCATGGAATGGTGCATGCGATGGTGCATGCGATGGTGCAAGGGAAGGTGTGTGCGACAGAGACAGTGGATGCAATGCCACATCATGTAAAGGTAAAAACTGGCGGAAGTATGGGGTGTGGGGGGCTGTTTGCTTATGGTTAGAGATTTGCCGCATTTTTCTGTGCTTTACGACGTGACGTTGAGTGTTGCGTTGCAAAAGACGGAGCTTACCGCAAGAGCGGCAGTGCGGATGGTCGTCCACGGAGTGTCCAGCGAGCCTGCCAGCACAGCACGGCGATGATCCGGGATCAGAACAGCAACGTACGGCAACAGACCGATCAGAACAGAGCACAGCACAGTGCCGCACCACACCGCACAGCACAACAAAGCACCGCACAGCACAGCGCAGCGCAGCACACGGCACAGGGAGACATTGGGTCAGGCGTGACGCGGGTGAGCGAGCAGGCTCGACTCGGCATCACTGCCCCTACTACCCGCCGCTTACCCGCGAGCAGCAGCAGCAGCAGCAAGAGCAGGCAGCGGCTCCACTTGACGGACGCCATTGGACCAAGATAAGAAAATACGCGAGCGCGGGTGTCGGAGTGGATGTCACTTGATAGTAATGCGCCCGGCCGTAGGTCCGGGAGCTCCGGAATTAGGTACGGAATCAGGTCCTAGAGGTTCGAAAGTAGGTACGGAATCAGGTCCGAGAGGTTCGGAAGTAGGTACGGAAGTAAGCGATCTGAGCACGGACGGGAGAGGCCCCGATCCGCGGGTCCACGGGGTGTTAACAACAGCGGAGGAGGTCTACAAGTGTCGGAGATGAGGAGAGAATTGGTGTGTGTCCGAAGAGGATGTGTGATAAGAGCCTCTTATCGGAGTCGTCTGCCCGCGAGGGTTGGTGTGAGGATAGGAAAGACGGCCCACGGTCGTTCGCAAGTAACTGTGCGAGCATCGCCATCATTGACAACAGTCGGGCTGCTGAGCTCGACTGTAATCTCGCCGACCAAGTCGAGCTGCAGACGGATCGCGACGGAGACCATTACTCGTTTCGTGCGATGTGCGTCGCGCAAGGACTATTAATTTGCTTGGACCACCGTGTATGACTCGCTTTCTTGCCTTCCACGATATGCTGTCCTCCACCATTCTATCCTGGCTTGTACGATATCAGGTACACCTATTGCCACATACAGACACACAAATGTTCCTAGTGCTCTTCAAACGTAATACCCTTAGCCAGTCTTTGCCACCACCTGTGCGAGCCCACTGAATGGATGTCACTGGTTGTTCTCGAGGTGATGTGTTTATGAAAGGATAATACGTTACATCGCTTACAACCGCAACATTTCAAATGATAGGCTCGACCCGATTTCTTTGATCTCGGTGCTACATCTTGTCGTTTTTTTTTTTTCTGCACGCTGCCAACCTTTGCCAAACAATGACTTTTCCAAGGCCCCATCATAGCCATGGACCCTCGTTATCCTGCCTAGGCACTGTGTTACGAGTGCAATTGAGCGAGCAAACAAAGATTGCACCATCGTGGCAAACGGAACAACACGAGCGAAGGCACGAGCGAATGTTATATGGCGAAACAATTGGTAACAGTAACACACGAAAACGTGGGGTACACCAACAAATGTCCGAGGCATAGGATCAGACCGCAGGTTACCAGCCGAGGCGTATGGCTCGGGCGCGATGGCACAAACAGTGGTCAAGGCGAATATCGCGAAATGGTAACGTGTCGAAATTATCGTGGGTGTTGTGTACACAGTTGTACCATATGTGTGGTATGCAGGGTGGCGCGAAGGGAAAGTAGATTCGTTACACCACCTTCTTCCTCAACGTGAACTCCCTCACGAAAATGCGTTGCCATCTGTAAATTTTATAGGTAGGCGGCGAGGACAGGGTGAATCTAAAATCTATATAGAAGCACCCAATTATCTTCTGTTGTTGTTCGGTCCTTCCATTGTATGAGGAATTCGATGCGGCGGGCCCCACGTGGGTCAGGAACTCGGTGGCTAAGTATCTTTATCGGGCTCGATGCCTGGTTCTGCTCGTGGTCGTGTCATCCTTGATGGTCGGCTGCGGAGCAGTTGGCTCGTGGATGGTAAGTACGGGCAAAGTAGGCTGATGCGGAACGATGAGCTGGCGTACCAATCAGTGGGGAGGAGGAGGTGTGCCGTGGCAGAAGTTACTATGTGGCTGATTTGGAATGGCCTGCAATATCGTGGACGTATCTTCGAGGTCATCAACAATCACAAATTCAGGGTGTCAAGAAGGACGAGATCTCCAGACTGGTTTTGGGAATGCAGTGGCTTCGGCGTTGCTATTAGCTACGACAATTGCTTTTCTTTAATTGCTTCTACTGCGCGAATCCGGGCATGTTTCAAAGCTTCGACGAACTGTTGCGCACGTGGAACTGGGTTGACGGGATTCTGTGTGGTCGGAACTGTAGGGTCCTGTCCGTAATTGAGGAAAATGGGCGATTGGTGGGTGGTGGTGGATGGCACGTCCTTGTATGACAATTCGCGAGTGGCAACTGCTGTTCCCAGGCCGTTGGATCGTCATGTGACTCAGAAAAGCTACTCCATCATCTGGTTGGTGCACTCGACTAGTCCAGCAGTCGTGAGGAAATATGATGAAATAAGCCGTAGTCGGGTTCCAAATTGTTGCCACAAACTCTTCCGAAATTTACTCATGAATTTGGTGTTGTAGTCGCTGATTATCGCAGATGGTATGGCGTGGAGGAGAACTACGGCGGAGATGGATTTCTTGCCGAGCAGCAAAGTGCTCCATTTTTCTCAGGTGATCGACGATCATGAAGATCCCGTCGTTACTATGTGCCCCCGCTGGTAATCGTGTGGCAAAGTCCACCATCACCTGCTACCAAGCACAATGTGGGGATGGTATGGTCTGCAATTGTCTTGCAGGTTTTTGTTGCAATGACTCCATGACCTGGCAGGTGGGGCACGTGGCCAAGTGCCTTAGTACCTAGTCAACATTTCCGGCCATCTTTGTAGCTGTTGCTCTGGCCTTTCTACCAGGAAATGTCCCGAGGTGACTTCGTCGTGAGACTCCTGTAAAAGCACATCCTAAAGTAAAGTGTAGCTCGGTACTCAAATGAGGTTGGTGCCGGCTTTTACGTAATGCACCCCTCGTGCCTCTGTGAACAGCTGAAAAAAAATTCATGGCAATCGCGCTATTTTCCTGTGGATCATAATGGGCAATCTATCGTTCTTCCTTCCTTATTCATGTGAGTTTCATTGATTGCTTGAATCGAAACTGTTACTCGGTGAGTGTCAGTGGGTTCGGGCGAACAGCGAGTCTCGTCGGTAGTGCGCCAGTTCTCAACTGACTCTTGGTGTTTCCCTGCCTGACTCCCTCGTCTGCTCGGCTCCCTGCGTTTCCTCTCCTCAATGTATTTGCTCTTGCGATGACCCGGAATGTTACCCGCAAGGCAGTGTCCTCGGAATGGCTTGACAGCTGCATTCGTCGCAACGTCGTGTACCGTGGATTGCTTGAACTTTCCTCGGGTACGTTGCCCAAAGGCCCGACCCCCGGTTGTCGTAGGATGTCAATCTTCTCGACGAGTGCGAAGAGGTCGTTCAAGTTCGAGAAACCGCGCAGGAAAATCTCTTGAGAGTTTTCCGACTCCAAGCCGCCACCGTAGCGGTTTATTCGCTCCGCTTCGTACATCTAGCCGACATATTTGCCAATGCGAGAAAGCCGCTCGTGTAATCTTGAACTGATGCGAGCTGTCGCCCAGAGCATAACTTCTGATACGCCAACATCAAAACTGCGATCGGCTTGGAATGCACGCGTAGACCCTGTCAGAACTAGCAGCAGAAACAAGAATGAAGAAAGGAGGGTTTGCACTAGCAGCAGTTGGCATACATATAGGAAACCCTAATTGGGTTGTACTCGCTATAGAGTACCCCACTGCAGGCTAGACAATAATAACATTCTGACACACCCCCATAGTCAAAGTGGGGTATAATCAGCACAGCAAGCAGTCATAGAGCAAGTCACAAAGGCAAGCAAAGCTAAAAGGCAGTCACAGAGGGCAAGTGAGGAGGAGGAGTGAGTGTGAGAGGAGAGTAGATTGGAGGCGACGGCTGAAGCTGCAGGCGCACGGGCAACAGAAGCGGCTGGCACAGTGGCTACCGGAGCAAGGGCCCCGGACTACTGGAGTAACAGACTCCGCGGCTACGACGAGCGGCAGGAGCTACGGACCCACGGGCGACTGGCGCAGCAGGCTCGCTGGGCTACCGAGAGCAAGGGCTCCGGAGGGGGGGGACGCGCGGCCCCCGGGGCGCCTCGACGGGCGACGGGATGGGGGGGACGCGCGGCCCCCGCGACGCCACGACGGGCGACGGGAGAGGCGCCAACGACGGGCGGCGGGGGGGGGGGGGCGCGCGCGGATCCCCCAGGGCGCCGCGACGAGGCGACGGGATGGCGGGGGGGGGGGGGGGGGGCGCGCGGATCGACGGGGTAGAAAACCGCCGCGCGCCTCGGGGCGCACGGCGGGCAGAAAACCGCCGCGCGCCCCGAGCGCACGGCGGGATGAAAAACGCCGCGCGCTCCGGGCGCGCGGTAGGAAGAAGGGGTCACGCGCCAGGGGCGCGCGACAGCAGTAGAGCAGCGGAAGCAGTTAGGTGGTGGGCCCACCCACAGGATCGATCCAAGGGGGTCGACCTGCTCTGAAACCATTTCAGAACTAGCAGCAGAAACAAGAATGAAGAAAGGAGGGTTTGCACTAGCAGCAGTTGGCATACATATAGGAAACCCTAATTGGGTTGTACCCGCTATAGAGTACCCCACTGCAGGCTAGACAATAATAACATTCTGACAGACCCACACGTCACGCGTCCCACGTGCGGTATTGGGTGACTTCGCAAAATGGTGAACCATATAGAATGGTTGGTCTGGAAGGCCCTTCCCCTTTTGGAAGTGGCTCGTAGTCTCTCAGCGAGGTAACAATCACTCGTTACCAGTCCATGGCTGGCCCTCGGAGCAGAGAAACGGCGTATAGCATTTTCGCCACGTCCGACGTCACGTAATTTGCATCGAAGAAGGCGTTCGTTGTGAACACCCACGATTGAAGTGTCGTACCTCTGTGTTGGCCTGGGTCGAAGTAGGGAGGGCATTGAGAATTGAGTGGCAGTAGTTGCGTGATGTCACAATTGTCGTATCCAGCTGCAATACTGACGCGGCGATGACATTCGCACGGCGTTTCAACTCCCAGATTCTCCCTAGGTCATCCATGCCCATTATTTCT